TTTATTTTTGTCCATTCTGGAGATGGCGGCAATGAAAAACGTGTTTACGCTGTTGCATTGCTGTGTCCGTGATACAGAAAATTCATGAGCCTGCAGAGAAAGCTTGTGAAAAAAAAATCGATTTAAGAAATAATCGATATTTATTTCGGCGATATTGTTAATTTCCGATATATTGATAATCGATATTTATTGTAGAATATATAATTCGTATGATGATTGAATATAGTTGATAAATATCACTGCATATGCCTTGGCAAACTCGATATCATTCTAATTTGATCATCGTATGGGTCTAGTATCGATACTTTGCTAGATTCTAGAATGATATTAAAAGTATCGATACCAATACAATATCGAATCAAAAGTATTGATTACTTAAGGTGAGGCAAATAAGTGTTGGTACGCTTCTTTGATACAGAAATAGACTTAACCTGGAGAAAGGGCATCGGCTACCTTTTATTGCGAAAAAAAAAGTGGAAATAGGGGATGAAAGGTTGCATAGAAATTTGTCATTATCAAATTTTGTTTTTAGGCAATTTATAAGTATAAATAGATATTTGATAACAAAGGTATTCTAAAAGAAAAAGAATTCTACTTAAAGAAACTATACCACGCGTCTAAAATCGCGACCAAAAGTATTTATACATGTAGTATTTATATAGTATTTATATTATATAATACACCCAACTGATCTTGCAATGATTATAGTTTAAATCTTACAATAGGATGGCTGATTTAAATGCCACCGTAAAGTTCATCAAAACGGACAAGTGCACAAGATAGTCATCCGGGTTTTTCATGTCATTCCGCACCGGAAAAATCAGACTGCCGGACCTAAAAATTAAGTGTAGTGTACACATAAGCCCATAGGGTGCTCATTTATTTTCAAAATTTTAATCTGTAGGCTAAACATAAAGATTCATGTTTTGAAGCTATTTATATTAGTGTACCCACTAATGCGGTTTGCACCAATATAAACAGTTAAAGTTTAGGTCATACATAATACGTGTCGGTTTAGCATATGTCACGCTGAAGATAAACCAGAAAGAACAACTGCTTAAAAATTGCGGAATGCGTTGTACCATCCTCCTTCTTAGTGCCGGTTTTAGCACTACTAGCGTCCTGGGCAAAATTTCTTCGACGCCCTCTAACTGCAATTCAATTACAATCAGTTACTACTACATATTACAAATCAGTTACTTGTCTTTTTTTCGCCGACCCGGCCTACTTACTTGTAATTTTCCCTAAATTTAGGTAGATTGTTAAGTTGGTAGCATTAGAATGGACCGTAGTGTTCAATCGGTTTAATTTCTCCGGAATCCCCGACTTTCCGACCATACAGAAAAAATGTGTTTTTCTATAATCGGGTATTCCCTAGATCTATCTCTTTTAATTTTTGACGAAGAAGAATACAATCAACAATTATCTTCTTGCTTGACATAAGTGGACGCTCTTAAAACAATTATTCGATTATTTTAAAACAAACAAACAATCAAACCTTTAACGCTACGTTACGATGCTCTTGTTCCGACTATATAGTGACATTAGTTTTATTTAAAAAGTAGACATATAAATAGTGTATAAGTAGCTGATTCATTTTTGACGGATCACATCATTAGGTAAGTATAGATTCATTTTTACCCTAACAGGGTGTCACATTATTGTTATCTATAAGTTTGTGTAATTGTTGTAACTTTGTGACAGTGAGTTTGCAGTGGGCCACTACTTATTATATAATCAATTATTTTGCTATTTCAAATAAGTGGACAAGTAGCTGGATCCGCTATATTCGGGACAACAGTATCAACATCATCTAGTACATGTATTTGTTGTACATCCATAACAGATTTATCCTGAGCAGCATCTGTAATCATAGCACAACTTGCTCCCTTACTTCGGGATTTTTCATCCACTATCTCTTGAGTAGCTATTCCATCTGACTTGCCAGACAGAGGCTCCACTGCCGATGCATTCGTTTGTATTGCAGCATTTTAGCTTCAGCTTAAAGTTTAAACATGCTCAAACGAAAATTTTCTTAAATCACCGAGCGATAATACCCGCTAATGTACGTCATATTAACTAATAAAATACATATCTTCATATTGGTAATCGGTATGTTGTTCTGTTTTACCATAATATAATATTTTTCTTGTTAAGTTTCCTTTCAATTCGTGCTGAAAGTGAGGCAACTTGAAAATAAAAACAAATCCTCAAGGTTCTTGTTCTTTTTTCGCCGACCCAGTAGGCCTTGTTCAATGAGCAAGGGAACTATAAGAGGGCGTCTGTGGGAAAAGTATTAGAAACTAGATGTCGCTACGGTATGTTCTTGATTTCTCCATGACAACCCTTCCAGTTTTTTTACATGTTTAAAGTTTTCTTACATGTGTAAATATGTTAGTTAAAATGAACGGAAATGACCGTCTTTGTTCCATTCGTTTAATACAAAAATCAGCTTTTGCTTGCGCCGGACGAAAAGGGACGCCGCGGCCTGCGCCCCTTTTCGTCCGGCGCCCCTGGGCGGTCGCCCAACCGCGCCCTACCCTAACGCCGCTACTGCTTCTTGTCATAGTAAAACAATAATTTTAACCAGCAAACCATGGGCAGTTTATAAGTTATATCATCAACTAACTATTGCAGAATGGTGCAACTCTTTTATTGCACAGAATGATTTGTTTAGCCGCTAACTTGACATGATATTTTGTTTTTATTGTTATTGTTAAAATAAATTGGTGCAACCAACCCTTAATGTCATAATTATTTAACTAAAAAGTAAGTCATGCAATTGAATGCCGCCTTTCAATTACAAAGATTAGCCGTCATGATACTTATGCACGTCAAAATCTAAGGAATCATAATCACAGATATAAATCTTGTAATCTATTTGCATTTGGAGATATTTATTATCTAATTTCACAATAATAATGGAAAAATAGGCATTCGGTTAATCTCTACGATACTACAACTGTTAAAGCGAGTATACACTGAAATATTTACGTGTAATAGTGTTCAGCACGAAAAATTATTAAGTTGGAATCGAATTAGTGTTGAAAATAAATTTCAAAAATACTGTTGGAAAATTTAAATTCACTATTGTTTTAAGTAGTTAAGTGGCCAATAGGGGGCACAGAACAGCAATTATATAAAAAAGTAAAATGTGTATGGTAAAAAGCTTTTAGAATTGCAAGTTTATTAATCGAATATTTGTCATAGAATTTAATAATCATCTGGGGGCATAACACTCCTGCCAAGTCGATCAAAAATATAAAAAGGGCACGGCCGTACTATCCTTTTCTCGATGCCATTTGACCCCCTGTAAATTCGTTGTAGATTAAACTAGAAGCCTTTAATGACCAAGAGGGCATTACATAACGAGGTGCATTTCCTAATTATATTAAATATGAACGAGTAGGGATACTTGGCAAACCCATAGGTATGGTAAGATAATATTACATATAAAAACTATCTAAAGTTATCGGATCTGTGCTTTATTGGTTTAAAAAAACTTCGGTGATTAATGGGTGTGTGCGTTTGTTAAATAATCCTAAATCTATGACAAGGTTGGATAGCTGCTCTCACAGAAAGATAAGTTCATAACTGTTTACGGCAGAAGAATTACGTTGTGAGACTTGTGTATTTTTGTACATGTTATGTTTTTGATGGAATTCAATTTTATATTTTTAATAAATAAATCAAGTAAGAATATTGTTGATTATGTAACCAAATAATAAATAAGTTTCACGTCACAGGACACACAAATTGGATCGTATCAGAAATCACCTAACTGACTTTGGAATCGAGGTATGTACCTCGATTCCGAAGTCAGTTAGGCACTGATCCTGTGTAAACGATCCCTTACAATTCAATATAAGCACATCCTACAGCGAGTTAAAGTGATTAAAAAAACAAGAGAACGCCCTTTTTTATGATTCGATATAGTCAAACTGCGTTTCCCAAAATTAGATAATGCCCCATTTCTGACATACCCAAAGTCACGTACCTTGGGTTCCGTACAAATATAATTTAAAAAACGAAAACTTGTAGGCTGTTATGTCTTTATTATACTGTACCGGGCCTGGATCTATAATGAACAACAACTTTTGATTCCTTATATTTTTAAGTATTTATTAATCTACTCAACATTACAAAACCATAATCTTAACTTGACATTCATTTTGCTACTACCACTACAGACGAAACTTCTACTAACACTAGCATTCCTGTATTATATAGATAAAAAATATATATTTGAAATTTTCAAAATTATAGGCGCAATATTATACTAGTTTTCTTTGATAATGTTCGAAAGAAATGGTAAAATTTCTCTTATTTCCTTCAATAACTTCAAAATTATAAATTAAACTAGCTTAGCGCGAGGTCCCAAGAGTGGGATTACGATTAGCCTTTAAATAATCCAAGCTTACAATTATTCGTACACGAAATTTTATATAAATCCGTTCAGTAGTTTAAAAAATATCTAGAATACATACATCCATCCTCTCAAACTTGCGAATTTACATTTGAAGTAGGACATATTCCAAATTCTCGCAACCTCTTATGCTTGGTATTCACGGCTACACGTCAGGTTACCACAATATGTTTACCTAAAATTGTATTAAGGTTCGACATCGAGTGGGGAAATTTGTCAGTTTTGTATAGTACCTATGACGTGCTGTTAGCTGCACCTACGTCACACTTGTAAAAATCTTTTTTTATGAAATCATTAGTTACCTTCTTATACATTTGTTTACTCCGCATATTAGTCTCTGGATCATCAAATTATTTGCATGAAATTTTAATACAATCTGGGACGTACAGACAGACAGATGCGCGTAAGGGTTCCTTTCCTCATAAGGTACGGAACCCAAAGACAACGTCATTGGTCCTTAAACTTGTACGCAAATGTTTTATCTCCATTGGACGATAAACAATTAATCTTTAATACTATAACTTATATTTCTTCCTTTTCATTATCTTTGCAAAGATAATTATTCGGCGTGCGCAAATTTCGTATTTTCTTATGCGAAATGAAATTAAAGTTCATTTTTGCGTTTCATTTAATTATATAATTGTTATATTACAATATTTAGATATGAATTTAAATCTATAAAAGTTGTAGGCCAGTTATATATCCCTTAGGCATACATAGGCAGCTGGACTGTTAATATTGCCTGAGTGTGTTCGTCCTGTGCCCTTGTGTTTAATTTTTTGTTAATTTTTGCAATTCATTATTTATCTAGTTGAAAATAAAATTTATTCGAAAATGTTCGGTAAGTTCATTTAATTTTATAGTTAAAAAAAAAGGTAGAATTATTTCTAATAAGTGGTACCTATCACTTGTGTTGTGATCTAATCTGTTTTGAAAATTTCATCTCAACATAGTTGTTTTAAAATAGCGGTTCTAGAACCCACTTAGCAGTTGTCTTAATCAAAAATATTGTTTCATAAAAAATGCATGTTTCATTAAGAATATTTTCCAGTGTAGCATTGTGAATGCAAAATTAATAAAAAATAAAAAATATTGCTTTTTAATATTCAGTAGGTCTAATTCTTGCTTGGTTTTATAAATAAAAAGCTTATGGCATACACATTTGAATTATCTAAACTTTTTTAAACTTATTCCGGTTTTGAAGATAGAGGTTCTTTGCATCACCGCTTCTAACACATCGGCATATTATAATCCAATTTCGAATTAAAAAGAATTCAATAATTTTATGGATTGGTTATATATAATATTGGTACGATGACTAGCAGATTGATTTCACTAAATCGGTTCCAACATAAGATTTGCTGCCCACAGTTAAAATCGTTTTGTGACAAAGAAAACAAGTATTTTTATTCTCATTTATCTATTCTAATCAAGCCTAGACTTTTGGGTTGATTAGGCTGGACTACGTTTAGGGAGTAGCGGTCTCGGCATTTACGCCCGGTTTCCCGAGTGCCACGAAACGATACCTATGCCTTATGTTTTTAATGGGTAGGCCCCCACCTTCAGCGTGGGAGAGTCAAATACACCACTTGCTGCCCCGTCAGACGGCATGGATAATGCGTAACGCATTTTCCCAGGGTCAAAAAACGCTGAACTAGGTTTAGGATTTAGTTTAAGTTCCGAATATAGGTGTAAGTACCTCCACCGATCTGTTTACTGAATCTAAAATATTTTTACTATTTTTCATAAAAAGACGAATACGTACCAAATATATTGCCTGTCAAAATATATTCATACGTAATTTTTTTAGTACAAAGCAAACTTACACAATCACCTTGCTTTGAGATTGTTTTAGCTTTTAGTGGTTTTTTTTTAATTTTCAGCTCAATAATTAACATAATTTGGTAAGAACATCCAGAAACCATGCCTAAACATATAATCAGGCCCGTCTTTAGCCATGGTGCACACCGATGATTTTCGGGAAATTCCCTGTAATTCGCCAGAGCACTGCTTGCACCCTGATGTGCTTAAGGCTGACCTAAATTGCATATAAATATTAATTTAGAATTCTAATAAAGCATATGCCACACATGGGAGTGATTACAATATAAAACTAATAATAATTGCCAACCTTCTTATTGGAATGGTATACGACATCAACATCCAGCCCTGTAGTAAAGTAAAAAAACGAAAGAAAACCCCAACTGGGTTTTACTATATTTCTCTATGACGTATCTACCTTAATATACCTAATTAGTTTTATTATTCATTAAATACTTATCATATAGCTCGTGAAAACAATATCACATAAAACCAGGGCCGGATTAGCCACGAAGCAACAGTATCAAATGCTACGGGCTCCACGTGTTTAGGGGCTCCACGCTATGATTCAGAGCCAATTTATTTTTTCTAGTCAGCGTTAAATAATGCAAGAAATAAAAAAAGCCACGCTTCTTCTGACTAGTCATATTTTTAAGTATGAACATAAACTGACAAATAAAACTCAATTCACAGATCAGTTGTGTAATTCGAAAAGCAAAAGATGGCTTTTCTGTTTCGGGGCGAAGGGGATTTGATGCGAGCCCCGCTATGGCTTAATTCAGCACTGCATGAAACATAAACTATCATTACTTATATATTTATCGGTAATTTGATTAGTTAATCTATCCATCGTATAATCCTTAAATGATTTAGTGACGTATTAGATTTGATATATTTCACTGGTGAGTTATAAATTTTATCGCATTTTGCCGGTGAACAAGGCAAATCTTTCTAAGAAATGTCACTTTATCTCTATAGGCTTTGATTAAATCAGTAAGTAATATAATTTTCCCTTTGGTCACACAACACGAAACACAATCCGCGAAAATTAGTTGATGGAAGAAATAAGTAGGTTTTGATACATTTCCATTCAGTAATTTTTCACAGAAACAGCTTTGTTTATAAGCCATAGAACCTTTTTACTTGCCCATGCAAATTCTATTAGATATTGTGTTAACATCACACTTATACGATTATAGCGTAGCTTAACCTTAACGAAATAAAAAAATACAATGGCTAAAACCTTATCATTTTTTGATGATTTTGTGTAGTTTTTTAATTATTGGCCCTAATTTTTTGTAAAGAACCACACCCTTTTTCGCCTGTAGCTGTCGCATATGCATTTCAATAAAACGTCTATTATGAAATGATTAATACAATACTTACCCAGGTACTTTGTGAATAGCTAACGTATCTAATAGTAATATAAATTGTAATTAAATACTCTAATGATTAGATTTATCATGTTTTATTGCAGTGATCTATGAATGAGATAGTCTAGTTTATTAACGTATTCCATTCATAAAACAATGTGTGGTGGCAAAATTAAACTACTAAAGTTAAAAAAGATAAAATTGTATTGCATTCAACCTTCACATACTTTGGACGAAATTGGATATATGGTTACTTATCCCAATTTTTCATATATGTATTTGGAAAAACCGTATTTATTCTGGAACATATATTTTCCAAATGAGTGGAGAAATTTAACAATTAAGTAGTCTGATATGCAATTGACTGTACCCTATGAATAGCATAAAAATCAACACATTTCATTAATATATTTATTCAATAAAAAAAATATGAGGTTTATCTTTTACCACATTTTCAGGGAATTGAAATAGGAATAGTCAGTCTTTATTAATCCTATTCACATACTGCTCATATGTGACCAAAAAAGCTTTCAAAGCTATTACCAGTTAACATTTTATTTTAATATCTATACACTCATCTTCTTGTATACATAATTCTTTTGGTGTACTTTTACCTGTAACAAAATATGTATGAAAATGTTTGAGAGAGGAAAACACATCAAAATTAAATTTTAATTTTTTTGTATCTGATGTATGAAAAATATTTGATATATATTAACAACAAAAAGTAGCTCGGTGGCGTAGTGGATAAGCGCCGCGGCCCGCAATCGTAGTCGTTAAGCAACTTTCGCAAGGGTCGGTCACGGGATGGGTGACCAAAAAATTATTATCTCGAGCTACTCCGTACTTCGGAAGGCACGTTAAGCCGTGTTGGTCCCGGCTGCATTTGCAGTCGTTAATACCCTCCAATCCGCATTGGGCCAGCGTGGAGGGTCATGGCCCATCCTCCTTAACCATCCATAAGGAAGGGCTGAGCCCCTGCAGTGGGGATGTAAAAAGGCTGGTGATGATGATGAACAACAAAAAGAGTGATTCAAGAGGAGGGTTAATATGTATAATACATGACTAAGTGGCTGAAGCTAGTTATTAATCCTTTTATTAATATTATAAATGTGAAAGTTTCTTTGTTTGAATGATTAGATGTTTGGATGTTTGTCCGTCAATCACGCCGAAACTACTAAACGGATTTTGATGAAATTTGGTTTAAAGATAGGGTACTAGCGACTTAGATAATAGGATACTTGTTATTCCACTAAACATTTCCCTAGGGTCCACACGGGCGAAGCCGCTGGCGAAAGCTAGTAAAACATAGTGTTACATGCTGATAATACAAACTTGAAATATTTTTTTAAATCATCTATTATTTTTGAGGTTATTCATTACAAACTAATAATGAAAACAAATATTTTCCATTTAAGATCATGTTATTTCAGCTCTTTAAACAAAACAAATAAATAATATTTATACAGTAATTTTCCTCTGTTTATCTCTAGATTAGGATAATAAAGTTTTTACATAAAATTGTAAATATTAGTAAACAATAAGAAAGAGCAATAATACTTTTTTAAGCTACATTATCATGAATTAACTTAGGTTGAATTTTATTAATCACTAGTGGCGTTTTCCATTATTTCTTTGCTCCTAATAGTTACAACGTGATGTTATATAGCCTAAAGCCTTCCTCGATAAATAGTCTATTCAACATAAAAAGAATTTTTCAATTCGAACCAGTAGTTCCTGAGATTAGCGCGTAAAAACAAACAAACAAACTCTTCAGCTTTATAATATTAATATAGATAAAGCAGCTTGACATTTGCAGGGTCAACTAGTTTAAATAAGTTTACAAGCATTAAGGGTCACTTGCACAAACATCCATTAAGGTTTAACAATGACTTTAAACTCTAATGAATGTTCTAAATTTGAAAATTCAAATGGGTAATGGTCAACATGGCATTCATATAATTAAAATAGATCCTTCACAACTGACTGTAAATCAAATTACCTGAAATGGAATCACCATCAAATTCAAATTTCAATCTATCCAGAGGGATTTCTAAACGTTCTGCACATTTCATCATGACTATAGAAAACTTCTCATCTAAACTAACCACAATGTCAAATGGTTTTTTCATATTCTGGCACTGGAATTTTAATTTAATGCCATCTCTTCTATCTTCCTTGTCTTTGTATGTTGCCAATTTAGATATGCTCTGATTAACAATACCACCATCAATAAATTTTACAATGCTGTAATTGATTGAATCAGGGGTGTCGTCTGGTTTCAATATCTTATCATTAAATGTGAAGAATAGTTGATCATTACTCACATTTTCTTTCTTTGCAAAATAATCAAATATCTGTGTTAGTTTTTGATAGCGTCTAATGATAAATTTGAAGAATTCTGAACTCTGCCAATAAACTTTAACTGATAACTCTTCATTCTCTTCTAATTCATTGTCATCAATAATAACTACATCGTTAGATTTCACTTTTGTACTAAATAATGCTTGGCTATCAGATTGATCTGGATATTCAGCAGTGTTTCCTATACTATATGTTGGTATATTAGGATTGATTACATTTTGTGATGCCACACAAGAATCAGTGGACAGCCAGGTTCTTCTACTTCTGTTTCTACCTCTACCTCTGCTTCTTCTAGATTGATTGGTTGCATTATGTTCCATAACAATATTATTACAAGGGGCACTATTTTCACTCTGGGGATCTACACTGGATTTTTGAGGTGCCCTTCTTTTTGATGAAATATTTTCTGTTATACTGATGTTGGAAGATTTTCTCTTCGTCGATCGTGTAATCCTTCTGGATGAGCTTGCTAATATAGCGTCTATTATATTATCCTCAGAATCTACTTTAGCACTACACTCATCACTCTGCTTACTGTCTACTAAAGGTTCAGAATTATTTTTTAACGTACTCTTTGCTTTTTTCACTAGTTCGTCCAGCTCGGTGGAATCGTTTAAAAGGTTTGTACTGTCAATTTTATCTTCCGTGTATTTGTTCTTCATGGATTGTAGTTTTTGCGCTATGTTCCCATAGCAATCATCTTCAGAATCTGAGGAGTCCATATTTTGTTTAACAATGACTATAACTTCAAAACAACAAAAGTATTTTAAAACGTACGTTTTCGTAAAACGTAAATACTTCCTTCTCAAACCAAAATGGTATTAAAGTTCAATCAAATGCAAAATTGTAAAACATCAACTGAAATCGTGTTTTTAATCTTTTTCTTTTTTTAATCCATGGCACAGACTTAGTAGGTATATCCATGGCCTATTTGCGTTTACACAATTCCGTGAACATCACGTTTGTGGTCTTTACACGTAAAGAAACAATAATAAAATATGTCAATTTTGGGGTAAAACAATAAAAAAGGCTTTGAGCACAGATCTGATTACATTGTTAAAGATTAAACTAATAAATTTTATATAAAAAACAAAGATTTTTATAACTAATGTTATGTGTAGAACGCGAGTAACGCCATCAGACATAGAAAATGACAAACATTTGTTGAAATAACGATGTATTGTAAATTAATCCCTTATTGATTGATATTAATCGAACAGTGCCAACGTGCTATATCATCGATACATTGATAGTAGAAGTGTTTTTGTAATATGTTATGTGATGTACACTATTCATTATAAAATATTATAAAAACAGTGTAAAATTTCAATAATACCTCAACATGATAGATAATATAATAGATTCAATGAAGAAATCATTTAAACTAGAAACGCGCTGCCGCTAAAATTTATACTTTTTATGTTTCTGCCGAAATGACGTCACATCAAGGCAGGTCTTAAAAAGAGAAGAATCCCTTCCTTTTTACGTTTAGAAGTTCTTATCGAACATGAAATCTAGAAAATTACTTGATATAAATCGTTGACAAATAATATTTTTATCGGATATATCTAATACCCATTATTATCAGTCTAACGAAAGATAACCCAAAAAGCATACTTTATTTGTTGTCAACTATCATGGCATCACTTTAAATAATTAACTTCGTCGATAGTAATTTATAACATTCAGACAAATATTATAAAGAAGAAAGATTTTTTTTGTTTGTATGTTTGCGTCGAATAAGGACCGAAACTACTTGATCTATTTTAAAAATTCTTTCACCTACGGGTAGCTACATCATACGGGGATGACTTAGGTTATAATTTACGTGTGCGAAGGCGCGGGGAAACAGATAGTATAATCTTATATATCATAGATATAATATTCGAGTGTAAGTACTAACGACGACCTATTTTGTTCAGAAAATCATGTTACTAGAAGATTAGAGATTGTTCCTCTACTTTCAAGTGCCTTATGTTGATATAGACTGAAGCTGTTTTAATACACCTTATAATATAATTTTAAGTTATTTTCTAAATAATAGTAAATTATATAATTAGTGGGAAAAGGAGTTTGTATCAAATTCTTGATGATATCTCTATTAGATGACCCCTTATTCATTTGATAAGTCTAAGAAACTAACGACGATAATACAATCTACGATCCAACGTAACAACCCAACGACGATTATAGAATTATTATTATCTTTTTCATACATTTACATCCACATACCCCATACACGTACACATATACTCACCGTCACACACACTCACACACACACACACACACATAAGCCTGTAATTTTATCTATTTCATATTTACTTTTATTATCATTTCTTCTCTTTTATAAACAATATTAAGAACATTAACTCCTGTACTTTTGTTATATTACTAGACTTATGTTCGGTTGTGGGGGCCTGGTGTTCTGTAGAACAGGATTATCCTAGTATCGGTCACCAGTCTCCGTCCTTGAATTGAATAAGAATAAAATGACAATTGTAACTGTGAAATATGCGGAGAAAATAAATTATTATTATTATACTTATTATTATAGAATCAAATCAGGCTCGAAGGACCATTATAGAGGTATAGTGTGCTTTTATATGGATCTAGGTAACTGTGAGAACTCCCTGCTGACTTATATATATGATTTATAAAATAAAGGCTATGTTTAAAAAAATAATTAAGTTGGCCCTATGTTGTTTTACATTAAATCAAAACATCTTAAATAAAAAAAATGTGTATTAGATAAGATTAATATCTAAATTGTGTTATTAACACGAAATATGCATTTTGATATAATCACAATGTTAATTGCACATGATATCCATTTATTGTAAATAATCCTATTAATGTTCGATAAAAAATAATATTTACGTCATAATCGTAATGTTGTAATCAATTAAAAACAATCCATGTGTCATAAAGCAGAAACCTACCTGCCTCGTCTGTGTCTGAATTACGATGAACTCAATAACAATCTAATTCCCATATGGTTTTTCCAACAAATAAATTTTACCACGGGGAAAGTTTTAGTGTAAGATTTGTAACTTGCTTGGGAAGGCACGTGAAGCCGTTGGTCCCGGCTGCATTTGCAGTCGTTAATACCCTCCAATCCGCATTGGGCCAGCGTGGAGGGTCATGGCCCATCCTCCTTAACTATCCATAAGAAAGTCCTGAGCCCCTGCAGCTAGGACGTAAAAGGGCTAATGATGTGTGAACGCAACAAAACATAAATAAATAGAACATAAAAATATGAGTAATCTTCTCTTCAACTGTTGCGAAAATATTGATGTAGGCCTTGTTCACAACGCCATCTTACCCTGACGACGTATTATTATTCCGCTCTCTTACTCTGTCATGTGACGTGTCAGGTCAACCTGTCTTTTAGTCTATCATATCAGCTGAGCGCAGTTCCCAAGCTTCCTGCTATTTTACCGCCTTAAACTTACTGTCAATTCTTCTTCATTTCAGCTATATTATTGCCTGTCCTCGTAACGGTTGGCCTATCAACTGGCGCCAATTTAAGATACGAAAATAATAAGCCTAAAGCTGGCGTGGACCCAAATAGCGTGCAGTGTGATCCCGAAGGGCAGGTACACCTAACATGAACATATCAATCAGAGATATTGCGTAATTATATATAACTACCTGGCTGCCGCAACATAAGTTGTTGGGTTCTAATTATCTTCACTCAAAGACGTCCTCCACCAGCCTTCATAATACCTATATAAGTATAAACTTTGAAACTTTCGCGTTGCATTATATTAGATTGTATACGACGGGTATTAATGCGATAAAATTTTCGATAGTTAGGTTTTTCACCTACCTATATTTCTCGACGTTTCGACCAGATTACACCGGCTGTGGTGACGGGCTGAAAAGAGTCAGCTGAAAAGAGTCGTATACCTACAATCTACCTATATAAGTGTTCTGAACAGCACAATAAGGTTTCAAACGTTCCAATGAATACAAAGCCTTTCTGCAACCGTGTTCAAATCTAATTTTATGTAGGTTTTAATTCAAAATTGATAACATACGAGTATTTTGAGAAAAGTGTTACTCTGTAAACTTTGCTAAATTGCTAAAAGTAATGTTTTGCAAAGTTGTTAATTTTTAACTATGAATAAAATTTAACATGATAAAAGAATAAATTTTTTTTCAGTATTTTTATTTATGTCATTAGCTAATGTTGCATTCTTTTTGTCTCAGATATTTTTGCTCCTCCCCGATACAAAGGATTGCTCAATATTCTACATGTGTACACATGGTAAAGAAGTTCAATTCGATTGTCCTGCCAACACTATCTTCGACTTTGAACTGCAGGTAAGCTTCGTATACTCTTGTGAAATTTGATTTTAAATATTGTTTTAATGTTAAGCCGTTTATATTAATATCTTACGTTTACGTACTACAAACAACATCATTTATTACATGATATTTAAGAGTATATTTTATATAAATTCTATTTATCTGTGGGCAGCGAAACAGAAGTCATCAATAACTGAAATCTATGAAAATGAAGCACACCGAGCTCAGCGGGTCGGGTCAGCAAACCAGTCAGGATTGGTCTGTCAAATCCTAGACCAACCCTGATTGAACTGCTAACAGTTTTGGAACGAATGATGCATTGAATGATCAAGAAACATAATAAAAACGTACTTAAATCAATCGAAAGGATTGCAGATAGAATTTCTGGATAGCTTTCTAATATATATGATAGATAAAAAGATGTTTGGGTCTAACCACAAGGCATAGGACTTTCCAATAAATGGAATCGAATAGGGAGAATGGGCCATGCACGACCCACTGTACGGGCCCAGTGGGTATAGGCTTGTCCTACAAGTTTTTGTTATATATTCGGAAAATAGAAACCATTTTAACTTATAAATATTTAACAAAATATTTTTAAGGCACTATTCTAGAAAATAAAAACCGCGACCAATGGTTAACATGCCTTCTGGAGCACGGAGGAATGAATGAATGAATAATTCTTTATTACACACAGATAGTACAATCAGATAGTACAATCGGCGGCTTTATGGCTGAGAAGCAATTTCTTCCAAGCAACCAAAAATGTGAGGAGTTTGAAATTATAAAATCTTGGTGACCGGCCCTTGCGAAAGTTAACTTCCGCATCGCAGATCTTCCTTTATTTTGTAACTTTCATGCGTATTTTTATTCGATATGTAACAGCGAATTAATATATTTTTCCAGGGCTGTGATTGGCCTTCATCTGCTAATTGCATCCTCCGAAAATCTGAAGATGATGATATTGAGGGTTCTGGAGATGATGAGGAAGCCAGCGGATTCTGGCAACCTGAGGAATCAGAAAGCTATGGTATATCTTATGATTATTGCAAAAAGGGACAAAGAGGAGCCGAATAACTTAATGAATAACATTAAATCTAGGGAGAAAAAATATTGAGTTCTAAATATTTTTTAAAAAACATTTATGATTGCGACTTCTTATTGGATCTGAGGATTACGGTCCTTTATTTTTTATTTTTTAGTTATTTCCAATATTTCATGAACTGAAAAGTGTATCGTAAAACCGTACTTATGCTATATTAAACTACTTCACATGCATTGCTCAGATTCCATGTTTGTTTTACAAAAAGGGCAATCAGATGGGCTCGCGAATATCTCTTAGAGAGCAATTTATAGAAATTGGAATATTCGAATATTTTATTATGGGGATTAACTTTTTATTTTAACGATTCGTTGAGCGCCGCAGAATATTCAATATTTGAAACTTATATACTTTTTTACAAATTCTCTCAAGAATTACGTTTTGGTTTATTGATAATCGCATAAATTTATTAAAAATGGGTGTAGCGGCTTTGTTCGGGCTCTAAGCAATGTCTAATATTACTGATATTTTTACTTTACTTTTGCTCAGTTATACTATTGCCTTAAGTTTTATACAACTTGCAAAACTTTCACGGTCATCTATATTAGAATAAGTGTGATCAAAGCGCTTGCTACAGCACTGAAATATCGGGATCGGGGAAATATAGGAATAATATGATGTATTGCTTTTGTTTTTTTTAGCAGCAGTATCCGATCTAGAAGAAACAGAGAGAAGATCGAAATTCTCACCAGTGTTGGACTGCAAAAATCCCGCGAGCGCCGCAAGACATGCGCCTTACAAGTGAGTTATAAACAAGGGTTTTAGCTAAGAAATTACTTATTTTACACGATATTGTTTTCAATAATTTATTTTAAGTATGTACGTATATGTTTATGTGGCACATTTTTTCCACACTATTTTCATATCCTTACTAAGTATAAATAAAGCGCGACGTGTGGTAACAGCCAAAACGTGAACGTGAAGCCGTACAAATTCACCCGGGCTCGGATAAATTCGGTTTGTTTCGACGTCTTGCTTGGACTATGTTTTCATTATCATCATCAGCCCTTTTATGTCCTCACTGCAGGGGCTCAGGCCTTCCTTATGGATGGTTAAGGAGGATGCGCCATGACCCTCCACGCTGGCCCAATGCGGATTGGAGGGTATTAACGACTGCAAATGCAGCCGGGACCAATGGCTTAACGTGCCTTCCAAAGCACGGAGTAGCTCGAGATAATAATTTTTTGGTCACCCATCCCGTGACCGACCCCTGCGAAAGTTGCTTAACGACAACGATCGCGGGCCGCGGCGCTTAACCACTACGCCACTGAGCTACTATGTTTTATAGAAAATGAATTGGATTCCACTTTGTGTGTTGCGACTAGTCGACGTCAGTTTACAGTGAGGAAGTATTTTAAAAAAAAAATTAGTTCCCAAAATCAAACTAGATATCGCTACAGTATCCCAAGGAGCACATAAATAATATATTAACTAAAATAAGTACCGATTTATGTCCTAAAGTTATACTAACATTTTTAATCAGCACTGGTCAAGTTTCGAATCTGTTTAAAGGCATTTATTTTATCTAATAATGCTTAATGCCATATTATGGTTAATAAAAAAAGTATACCAATGTCAAAACTCCCATTTAAGTATTGGGTAATATTAATATAAAGCTGTTATCGTATTTCGGTGATATGAAAAACATTATATATTATATAAGCATTAATGTAATATTATTTAGTGCCCTTAGTTGTATTTAGTCATTTTCTAGAAACAAAGGTATTCTAATGGCCTATGGTTGTATCGATTTAATGCTTATCCTATATACACATTAAATAAAGAACTAGTAAAACTTTAGCACCGATTTGTTCTTAAAGCATTCTTTAATCAAGCTCAAGCTCCTTTATATTCTTAATCTATGCTTTTATAAAACATAAGGCTATATTTTGATCAATATTAAGTTATTTATAGAGATACAAGTAATAAATAGATCGTTATTATTTTTTATGTGAAATTAAAATGTAAAATTATTTTATGTATTGTATTGTAATGGTGGCATTTTATACGCATCGCTGGCGCCATGGACAAAAAACGTTGGGAAAAACAAAGAAAACAGGTGGATATAAAAGAAAACTGAAAAAAGAGTATTCTAATTTAATAAAAGCTTTTAAAAATAAAAATAAAAATGAAATAATCGTTTGATGATTATAAGCACTATAAGATACTTCTGAAGTGTTAAAATACGGCTGTACCTAAAATGGGAGTGTATTATACGGTGAATTACGAGCTCTTAGTTTTGTGTCTAACCATAATACGATTAACAGCTCTACTACACCATATTTGAATACCTAATGCTTTAATTTTACGAGTCGCCATTTGCTTTCTTTTTCCAATTCTTACAAAATATTTAAAGTCAACTGTGTCAGATGAAAAGGGGTAAATAATCATTTATTTTGTGCACAGATGCCTATAAAAGCAATTATGTTGTTAAAACAATGCTAAAAAGCCTAAAATTCAACAAAAAATTTTGCTACTAGGTTAAATTTTTTATTATTTTTATTATATTAAAGGAACTTTGCGAAGGCGCGTGAATTTTACACCATAAACTTGTATATTTTACTCCACAAATTGATGTTTGCAGCTTATTTCATACATAACGAGCTGTTTAAATCAATATTCAAAAATACTTAAAAGACCAGCCAAGAGAACATGTCATGACACTTACACAAAACAATAATTTAAACCGATATGTTTTTAAAATCTATTAAATATACTTTTTTTACAAAGGAAATAAAACAGTAAGCATTTTTATATAATTAAATTAACGTATTATAATTTTGATTTCCGCATATCAATTGTAATATAGTCACAAAAAGTTCAATTAGCACTTTAAGGTGCTAATTGAACTTTTTGTGGCTATTAGAATACTTTTACCCGACTTTATTAATGCTATTATACAAAAGTTGTAGTGCTATTGCACAGCTTTTATAAAGCTTAAAGTCGTACAAAGGGGGGCCCAAATTTTACGTATAAGAGTCGTTTAAAAGAAATACGGTTGATATACGATTTCATTATAATGCTTAACACTTGGACTAGTGCTATTATAAGTTTGATATAATGGTGTTTTGTGCTACTTGGGATGTTCTTGATTTCTCCATGACAACCTTTTCCGGTTTTCTTTCAAGTGTAAAAGTAAATTAGTTTCAAAACTCAATAAACAACTCATGTTCTATTTGGACTTTTTCGTATTTGTATTGATATCTAAGTTTCGAACTTTTCAAATTTCAGTTTTTTAATATTTTAGTTAAAAGGAATAGAAATGACTGTCCTTGGAAATTTCCTGCAAAAATCAAGTTTTGCTAGAGTCGCCATCTAGTGGAGGAGCTTTTTTAGTGCTTTCGTTTTTTTTTTAAATACTTCCTCATTGCTCTCCCCATCACTGTTACTCACTTTGTCTGGTGTTATATCAGTTTTTGCGCTTCGGCCACTTAATATTTTTTGTTTATTTTGTAGGGGTGACTGCCAGCGTTATTGGAGATGCGAAGGCGGTGCCATCCAAGCCGTCTACTGTACAGACGGGTTGTTCTTCAACGCCCAGACACAACAGTGTGACTTCGAAGCAAATGCAAAATGCGAGACAGAGATAGAGAATGAGCTCGAGGGAGAATACATCGTCTATAAATAGATTAAAGTTGAAAAACTGAGATAGAGTTAATTGTAACTTAGCCACATACTTAGAAAAATGGTTATTTTTAATTTAGTGAGTATTTTTAAATTATAATAGATTTATAAACATTTTAAATAAATATACACATTTGATTTCTTTAATATCAAGGATAATAAAGCGCCGTCTATCTCAGTTCGAATACTTTAGTTTATTTACAATATTTAATAAGCAATCTCTATCAAACCGGTGACTTTGGTATTTGTATGAATTATTTATCTAAAGGTAAATTTTATCACAAACGTCATAACTGGGTGATCTATTAGGGGGGAGACCTATGTGATTAATTTTCTAAGGAGTATATCTTTGAGGCTTTACTAGGACTAGGTAATTCATACAAATGCCGAATTAGGAGTCGTAAATTATAATAAGCATATCGTTATATATTGATGGGATTATTACATAAAATACATAGCAAATATCACTTAAAAATTATTCTTAAATTTTGTATTAATTTATATTCAGTGTTATACTGATCAAATTTGTACATTTTTCAGAATATTAAAATGTTGATTTTTGCAAAAAAAAATTATGGATGTCTGTTTTTTACAAATATTTTACATTTATCAATGTTATGCTTTGCAATATTAATTAATAGGTAATTAAAGCGGTAACAAAACATCAGTTTTTTTTTTATAAAAATAATTATAATGTCCAGCACATTTATTATGTAAAATGATTTTCGAGTTTTTGAACATTTTCCTTTTTATAAGAATCAGAAAACAGGGGGGGGGGTGGGGGGCTATTTAATATTTTTATTCATATCTGTATACTGACTGATAATACTAATTGTTTATCAATAATAACATATTTATTTATTTATTTTATTTATTTATTTAATACTTTATGCACTAAAGTATAAAGGCGGACTTAATGCCTTAGGCATTCTCTGCCAGTCAACCTTTAGGTGATGTGGAGACTAAATATAAAGTAAAGGTAGGTGCATACCAATACACTTAGAACGACAAGACGAAAATACATACTTACACATAAGGTACTCAATTTAGACAAAAACTGGGAAAAAAATACACAAATATATATAAATACATAGATGAATAAATTATACACACATATATACATATATATACATACATACACACTAGACGTGAGATAGCGATTTTCATGAATCTGGCTGTTTTAGTATAAAGTCGCGCAATTTTGTTCTTGTCGCGCAAAAGAGGGTTACCTCTAAATGACGATGTGAACAATTCTATCGCTAAAGTAGTACATTGGTTTAATGTAAATAATCTTCTGCTTAATGAAGGAAAAACAAAATGCTTAAAATTTGTACTACCTAATGTTAAAAAAGTAGATATAAATGTTAATGTAAAAGATAAGAACATGGGCCTTGTGGATACCACAGTATTTTTAGGAATAACATTAGATTCTAAACTACAGTGGGGCCCACATATTGATAGATTGTCGAGTAGACTTAGCTCTGCAGCATATGCCGTAATGAAGATACGTAGGTTAACTGACATAGATACTGCCAGATTAGTATACTTCAGTTACTTTTATAGTGTTATGTCGTACGGTATCCTATTGTGGGGAAATGCTGCCGACATACAAACAATTTTTGTGCTTCAGAAAAGAGCAATTCGATCAATTTATAATCTTAGGATTAGGGACTCTTTAAGGGAGAAATTTAAGGAAATAGACATTATGACTGTTGCTTCTCAATACATATACGAGAACTTAATGTACGTTCGTAAAAATATTAGTTTGTTTTCTATAAAAAGTGATGTACACAATTTTAATACAAGAAATAAAAATAAATTAACGGTGCCTGTCACTAGACTGCAAAAAGTTAATAACTCTTTCAAGGGTCTTTGTGTGCGCTTCTACAATAAGGTCCCAAGCAAAATACAACAATTAGATATCATGCAGTTTAAATCTACTATTAAAAAAATACTTATTAAAAAAGCTTATTATAAGGTATCCGATTATATAACAGATAAGAACGCTTGGACTTGAGATGATCCATCAACTGGATAGGTGATTACTCCTAAACTCATTATCTTGTTTCCATTATTATTAAATGATTATGTTATTATTATAAGACCATAGTTTTTTTTTATCTCTGTTTATAATGTATTGATCTGGTAATGACATGGTTTTTGTAAATGTCATTACTCATATTAGAGCTGGTGAGTTTCTTGCTCGTTCTTCTTATCAGCCAAAAGACGTCCTGAACGAGTGGTAGGGAAAAAATGTTGGACGATTCAAAAGTACTTTTAAGAAGTCTATTTGAATAAAGATTATTTCGACTTTGACTTTGACTTTGAAAACTAACCGACTGGGGGACATTCTGATATCTGAGGGTAGTGCGTTCCATAGAAGAATAGCCTTAACGAAAAAGAAGGAATGCATGACGTCAGAGTGATGAGAGGGGCAAACAAGTAGTCGATTAAAGGACGATCGAAGATTTTTAGTGTGACTCGTGCATAAATACTGAAAGTAGGGGGTTAGATAGCTTGGGGCATTAGGTGATTCTAACAAAGAAAACAAAGTGGTCAATGCCCGCACTTCTCTACGCTTTCGTATAGGCTTCCATTTTAAAAGAGAGCGATATGGGGATACATGGTCGTATTTACGAAGATTAAAAACGAATCGAATGCAGTTATTTAGAACACGGTCAAGCTTATTGAGCAGATCTGCATTCAGGTCGAGGTAGCACACATCACCATAGTCGACTATGGGGAAAATTATGGTGTAACTTGCAGGGCCCGCAGTACGGAGTGATGCTAAGAAATATACTCAAAATGCTTTATTATACTTTCCAGTGGTTATTACAGTATGAGCGAAATGTGAGACTTGTTGCTAGCGCGGATGGGTGCAGAACACTAACACGTGAAAGGAATTGTTACTTATACATATTTGCGATTTATTATTTCACTACCCACTAACATTTATAACATTAACAAGGTGGAAGGAAATATATTAATGAGCGCGTCGCTTACATATGGTTTGCACAAGCATTGCCTTGATTGTGGTTGGTAGGAAATTCTTAAGACGATATAAGGCTCTTAGTACTCCAGTTACCTTTTGGCAAATAGTGGTAGTTTGAATTTGCCAGTTCATATTAAGATCCACGTGCAGTCCCAAATCTTTCACACTGTCGCTAAATGGGATAAAAGAGCCGTCGTACATGATAGGTCTAAGTTTAGCGTAGTCGATCCTACTTATCATCGTTCGGCTACCCACAAGCATTCATATCGGTAAGCACAGCCCTAATTTTGTAATAGGGACAGGGCCGTCTTAGACTATGCTGGGGCCCTTGGGCACACAAGAATTTGGGGCCCTTTTGGAATGTAAAGAGAACGAATCGAACTATACAACTTTTTTCACTATGATTTGTTTTATTAATCAAATATATAAAAATAATATAATATGTCATTAATTATATTAGTGTGTATGGTGCTGTTTTTTTACTATGATTACGATAATAATTTCTTTCGAGCTTTCTGTTGAGCAAAATCTTCTATTAAATCCTCAAACTCAATTTTCTGAAGAATATCACTTTCTATGCTCATAATTGACAAATTATTTAGCCGTTTTCATAACATTTTTGTTCGCAATTCATTTTTTACTCTCTTTAGGTACGAAAATGAACACTCCCCATTTTTTTTTTCGGCTCTCAATCTTAAGGGTTCGGAACCACCCTCCCAACGGGGGAAGGAGGCGGTGAATTCTTCATTGGATACCCCACAGCCGGTTGTGAGGTTATGTCAGACTCCTACGATCAGCCAGAGTTGATGGGGGTTGACCTGAGGGGTCGTGGAGGGCAGGGGGGAGCTATCTCGTACCACACAGAAGGGTGCTACGTGATGCCCTTTAAATGTGCGGCCGCTACCCTGAAGGGATAGCGGTTGAAGTGGACGGAGACGGGGGTTGACCTGAAGGGTCGGAGGGGATAGGGGTGGGATCCGCTTGCTGGGCCTCTAGGAGGAGGTCCAGATCGGCGGAAAGTTTGGACGGCGGATCGGTGAGGACAGATTTGGGCCTACGGGCGAGAGGAGAGGAGGAGGAGGGCGGCACATAGTCCGCGGCAGAACGGATGAGGGGATTGTGGTGATCCTCTGCCGCTTTGAAGAAGCGTTCAGAGGCTTTGATGCACCACTGTTGGATAGTAGGAAGATCGAGGTATCTATGTAGATCCGCATTGCGGATGTAGTAAGGGGCATTTGCCGCTCGGCGGCAAAAGAGATTTTGCACTATTTGCAATTTGTAGAGGACTTTGGGGTCGGCATTGGCGAATACGGTAGAGGCGTACGTCATCACCGGACGTATGCAGACCTTGTAAAGCGTTCGCTTATTACGAAGGGACATTTTACTATGTCGGCCCAGCATAGGACTGAGTCGAAATAAAAAACGTCGAGCTGTCTGTGTGACTCTATTGACGTGGGGAACAAAGGAGAGCCTTTGATCGAGCATCACGCCGAGGTATTTTGAGCACTTTTGCCAGGGAATGCGTTTACCTAGGCGGAGGGTATTTGGGGGGGAGGCGACGTCGCTTAGCGTTGAAGCAAACTGCGGAAGATTTTTCCGGGTTCGTTTCAATTCGCTATATGCGAAACCAATCGCCTAAGGCATCAATGGAAGATTGAAGCCTGGGAAGGATATTAGGTAGGCATGAGCCCCGGTAATACAGAGCCGTACCGTCCGCGAAGAGAGAGAGTTCCACTCCCTTAAGGGGAATGGGTATATCGTTTGTGTACACAATGTACAGGAGGGGTGCAAGTACTGAGCCTTGCGGGATCCCCGCGGTGATGGCGTGGGGGAAAGAGAGGGCACCTTCGTGTCTTAAACGAAAGGTGCAGTGTTCGAGGAAAGAAGCTACCAGACGAACCAGTCGTAAGGAAAGCTTTGGCAACATCGAAAAAGACTGCTACAGTCTTTTGTTTGCGAGGGAAGAAACCGCTGGAGATGTACTCCACTATGCGGTGAACCTGTTGGGGACAGGAGTCTTTGGCTCTAAAGCCATATTGGTGGGGGATCATGAGATCCAGTTCGGGATCGAAGAGGTGTTCCCTCATGCGGGAGAGTATACACCTCTCCAAGAGTTTCCCTAAGGCCTTTAGGAGGCTGATGGGGCGGTGGCTGGAGGGGAGGTTGGTGGGTTTCTCCGGTTTTGGGATGCCTATTACGATTGCATCCTTCCACGCGGTTGAAAAGTAGCAGAGATCGAAACAGGCATTGAAGATGAGAGTGATGAGAGTAATGATCTTTGAAGGGAAGAACTTCAGGGCCATATTGGAGATGCCATCGGCACCTGGGGACTTTTTGGGTTTGAGATTTTTCATGAGATCTACGATCTCATCAGAAGAAACGGGTGAGGGGTTGTTTGGGGGGGGGGTCGGAGGGCGGGGGTAGAGGGAGGGAGTACATTGCTGATAGCTCCTCCTCTACCGCCCGTATGTGATCTTGGTCACACTCCTGGGTGCTGATTGAGCATTGCGTGGCCACGCTGTCACCGAAACACTCCGCCTTTTCGTCGTCCTCGAAAGCTGTGGTGCCATTGGGACGAAAAAGAGGAGGGGTGTGAGTGACCGCGTCGGCACGCAAGGCTCTGGCGACCCTGTAGTATGCCAAGTGAGAGGGAGTGATATCTGCCATTAAATTGGCGAAACTATTGTCTCTGAACTCTTT